CCAATTACCATCACCATGACCACACCACAGTCAATTTTAGAACACTTTTATCTCCTCAAGAAGAAACCCCATACCTTTTAGCTACCCTCCCCCCACCCACAACTCTACCCACACCTGCCCCCCATGCCCAGCCCTAAGCTACACTTATCTACTACCTATCTCCATAGATTTGCCTCTTCTGGACATTTCACATAAATGGCATCTGACTTAGTATAATATTTTCAAGGTTCATCGATGTTGTAGCATTCCTTTTTATGGTTGAATGATACTCATTGCATGGATATAACATATTTTGTTTATGCATTCATTATTTGATGGACATTTGGGTTATTTCCACCTCTTGGTTATTATGAATAATGCTGCTATAAATAACTGTGTTCTGGTTTTTGTGTGCACATGTATTTTTATTACCCTTGGGTATGCACCTAGAATTGCTGGGTCATATGGTAACTCAATGTTTAAACATATGTGGAACTTCCACACCATTTGCCAAAGGGGCTGCACCATTTTATATTCCCACCAGCAGTGTATGAGGGTTCCAGTTTCTCCATATCCTCACCAATTCTCGTTTTTATCTGTCTGTTTGATTACAGCCATTCTAGTGGGTATAAACTGATATCTCCTTGTGATATTTATTTGCATTTCCCTGATAAGTAGTGATGTTGAGCCTCTTTTCATATGTTTGTTGATAATTTACATGTGTTTTTTGGAGAAATATTCATTTAAGTCTTTTGCCCATTTAAAAAATTCAGTTGTCTTTTTTTTGTTGCATTATAAGAGGTTTTTTAATACGAGATACTAGACACTTTTCAAATATATGATTTCCAAAAATTTTGTCTCATTCTATAGGTTGTCTTTTCACTGTCTGGATATTGTCCTTCAATCTACAGAAGTTTTTAAATTTTCAAGAAGTACAATTTGTCTATTTTTTCTTTTGTAAGTTCATGCTTTTTGTGTCATAAAGATTTATCCTTAAGTTTTCTTCTAAGCATTTTATAGTTTTAGCTTTCACATTTAGGTCTGTGATCCATTTGGAGTTAGTTTTTGCATGTGGCGTGAGGTATAGGTCCAACTTTATTCTTCTGCATGTGGATATATAGTTGTTGCAACACCCTTTGCTTAAGAGACTATATTTTTTCTCCATAGAATGGTCTTGGCCCCCTCAATGAAATCAAATGACCATGGCTGTATGAGTTTATTTCTAGACTCTCAGTTCTATTCCATTTATCTGCATGTTGATCCTTACGCCGGCACCCTGCCGTCTTGATTACTGTAATTTTGTAGTATGTTTTGAAATTAGGAAATGTGAGTTCTCCAACTTAATTTTTCTTTTATAAGATTGCTTTGACTATTTTGAATCTCTTGCAATTCCATATGAATCTTAGAATTAGCTTTTCCATTTCTGCAAAAAAAAATGGTCTTTGGGATTTTGATCCCAAAAGGATTACATTGAACCTGTAATTGGGAGGGTATTGCCATCTTAATAACATGAAGTCTTTCAATTTATGAACGTGTGATTTCCTTCCATTTATTTATAGTTTTTCATTAATTTCTTTCAGTAATGTTTTATACTTTTTAGTATACTAGTCTTTTACCTCCTTGGGTAAATTTTTTTTTTTTTTTTTTTTTTTTTTTTTTTTTTTTTTTTTTTTTTTCCGGGCCCGCAACCGGACCCAACC